CCCCGGGAGTGAGTTCCACAGGTGAGGGGCCACCACTGAGAAAGCCCTGCTCCTCGTCCCCACCAGCCTCACTTGTGACAGCGGTGGAGTCGAGAGCAGGGCCCCCTCAGATGATCTCAAATTCCGGGTTGGGACATAGAGGGAGATACGTTCGGACAGATACACTGGACCGGAACCATAAAGGGTTTTGTAGGTCAAAACCAGCACCTTGAATTGTGCTCGGAACTGAACCGGTGACCAGTGGAGCTGACACAGCAGGGGGGTTGTGTGCTCCCTGTATGTCGCTCAAGTGAGCAATCTGGCTGCTGCTCACTGGACCAGTTGAAGTTTCCGAACAGTCTTCAAGGGCAACCCCACGTAGAGTGCGTTGCAGTAGTCTATTCGGGATGTAACAAGAGCGTGGACCACTGTGGCCAGATCAGACTTCCCAAGGTACGGGCGCAACTGGTGCACAAGTTTTAATTGCGCAAAAGCTCTCCCGGCCACCACTGAGACCTGGAAAGCCTATCATTCCCCGTAATTTCCGACTGAACCACAACAGATGATAATCATAGGAAGCTTCCCTGACCCAGTAGATACTTACGTTGCATCTACACTGTTGTACGAGTGCAGTTTGATGCTGTTTTTCGCTATGGTTTATAGTTTATGGTTTGGTTCAGCATTGAAACACCAGACTCAGCCTGCCATTTTGGTCTTGGCAAAGCAGTCCCATCTGGGTTGCCTTCTGTTCAGAACATCTCCTCATCGCCGTCTCTCTCGTAAAAGATATACAAGAGGTTTTATCGCTTGGGGAGGCTCTGTCCCTGCAGCTCCCCATTTTCCTGCAAGAAGGGAACATCGTAAAAGCCGTTTATAGGCCTCTCTCTCATCCCTTCTCTGGTGCCAAGATGCCCAGCGGATAAGGCAAGTTGAAGCCTTCTCCTCGTTCTGGGATTTCCTCTTGCAGGCCGTTCTCTGAAGCTTTCCCCCTATTAATTTGGGTTCCTAAACTCTTTTCAAGTCGGCTTCTGTCGATGGCCTTCTGATGGGAAACCTGCGAAAGAGGCTGCAATCAGGCCTTGATGGCTGTAATCCTCCAGAGGGTTTGCTTTTGAGGCTGAGAGAGTGCAATTTACCCTACGTAAGCCAAGCTTTGGTTTCCATCACTGCTCCGTTACGCTCCTGTGTTTTACATCCAGGTTAAGAAATTGGAAATGTTCTACCTATGTGGCATGGCTCAAGTTCAGCCACGTTAGTATAGTGGCTTTGCTTTCTATTATTATTATTATTATTATTATTATTATTATTATTATTATTATTAGCTTGGGTACCCAGAGATGCCCAGGTTATTTTTTGTTTTTGGATGTTATGAATGGACCCATAACATTGCTGCAGATCCATGGCCAGTGGGGTTTGCAGTAGTCTCTAGATGTGGGTGAGAGACGAATTGGGTGGAGGTACTACAAATCCCATCATCCAGGGTCCATCCTCCTCCAATCCACACCAGACCCCCATGAATGACGGACAGGTCTGAAGGCAATTCAAATCGGAGAAAATAGCTCAAAGTATTGGCCACGAAACTATGTCTCCATCCTGTGTGGCACTTTCTTCTGTTGACCCCGCAGAGTGATTCAATCAAATAAACCTGTTGAACAATCTCCTTGCTTCCAGCGTTCGATTGGATTAAAAGACCCTGGATGTTTTGGGGCCATTAGTGGAATAAAGGGACACAGCAGCACATCTTTTAAATCCATATCAATATCTATCAATCAATCATCAATATTATATAATAAAGGTGGAGTATATATGTCGGCGACAATGTTTTTCTGGCTGGGGTTCCGACTTCCTCAGATCACTGTGACCCCCACGAATGACGGACCTGGACCAAACTTGGGACACAGACCACTCATGATACAATGTCAATTTACATTCTGGTGGTGGTACTGCAAATCCCATCTTCCAGGGTCCATCCTTCCCCAATCCTCACCAGGATGTAAAGTGGGTCCTGGGGTGTCTGTGTGCCAAGTCCATCATTCATGGGGGTCGGAGTGGTCTGCAGAAGTGGGTGAAGGTACTGCAAATCCCATCGTCCATGGTACATCCTCATCCAATCTACACCAGGATGTAAAATGAGTTATGGGGAATTATCAAGTCTGGTCCAGATCCATGGCTCATGGGGTGAGCAGTAGTCTGGATGTGGGTGAAGGTACTTCAAATCCCATCATCCAGGATCCATCCTCCCCCAATCCACACCAGGATGTAAATTGTATCGTGAGTGGTCTGTGTCCCAAGTTTGGTCCAGGTCCGTCATTCGTGGGGGTCACAGTGATCTGAGGAAGTCGGAACCCCAGCCAGAAAAACATGGTCGACGACATATATACTCCACCTATATTATATAATATTGATGATTGATTGATAGATATAGATATAGATTTTAAAAGATGTGCTGCTATGTCCCTTTATTCCACTAATGGCCCCAAAACATCCAGAGTCCTTTAATCCAATCGAACGCTGGAAGCAAGGAGATAATTCAACAGGTTTATTTGATCGAATCACTCTGCGGGGTGATTCGATCTCTCCTGAGAAAAATGTACAATATCACAAAGGACAACCACCTCACCCGCCTCATAGGAAACCTGCTACAAAACAGGAGCTTTTTCGTTGAGTTCCAGGGCAAGAGAAGCAGGTGGCGGAAATGGAAGAACGGCCTGCCTCAGGGGAGCGTGCTCACTCCATCCATGTTCAACATCTACACAAATGACCAGCCATTACCAGAAGGGACAGAGAGCTTCATCTATGCTGATGATTGTGCCATCACCGCTCAAGCAGGGAGCTTTGAGATGGTTGAACAGAAGCTCTCCCAAGCTCTAGGTGCTCTCACTGCCTATTACAGGGAAAACCAGCTGATCCCTAATCCATCTAAAACACAGACATGTGCCTTTCATCTTAAGAACAGACAAGCATCCCGAGCTCTGAGGATTACCTGGGAAGGAATCCCACTGGAGCATTGCAGCGCACCCAAAGACCTGGGAGTTACCCTGGACCGTGCTCTGACTTACAAGAAGCACTGCCTGAACATCAAGCAAAAAGTGGGCGCTAGAAACAACATCATACGAAAGCTGACTGGCACAACCTGGGGATCACAACCAGATACAGTGAGGACATCTGCCTTTGCGCTATGCTACTCTGCTGCTGAGTACGCATGCCCAGTGTGGAACACATCACACCACACTAAAACAGTGGATGTGGCTCTTAATGAGACATGCCGCATTATCACGGGGTGTCTGCGCCCTACACCACTGGAGAAATTACGCTGCTTAGCCGGTATTGCACCACCTGACATCCGCCGGGAAGTGGCAGCCAATAGTGAAAGGACCAAGGCAGAGACATCTCCAGCTCATCCCCTGTTTGGGTATCAGCCAGCACGTCAACGACTTAAATCAAGAAATAGATCTACAGAGATACTCGCTGGAACACCTCAGCAAGCAAGAGTCCAAAAGTGGCAGCACCTCAATCAATGGCTGATACCAAATGAGAGACTCCCCCCTGGGCACACAGAGGACTGGGCGACTTGGAAGGCGCTGAACAGACTGCGCTCTGGCACCACGAGATGCAGAGACAACCTCAAGAAATGGGGCCACAAAGTGGAATCCACGACATGCGAGTGCGGAGAAGAGCAAACCACTGACCACCTGCTGCAATGAACCCTGAGCTATTTCCTCCGATTCAAACTCAACCGTCATTGCCTCCAGACCTGTGGCTCGACCTTGTTGTGGGATATTATGTTCCCTTCTGTCTCCACACCTTGTGTTTGGACTTCCCTGGGCCGCTTCCAAAGGCCTCCCTTTGATCCCGGCAAATAAGTAATTAAGACCTCGGCTTCGTTGGGCTTTTCTCGCAAGTGAGGACTGGAGATTTGTTTTAACACACCCTTCCAGAGAGGCTTAAAGTCGGGCTCGTCGGTGCCAAGGGAGCCGCATGGACTTGTTTCATGTGTTTGCAGAACGGGGAAAGGAAAGCCAACGTGTTCCCAACATCATCATTGTGTGTTGTTTTGAGGATTGGGTGTGGGTTCGGATCCTGGTCCAGCCACAGAATAATAGATTTGGAAGAGACCCCCAAAGGCCATCTAGTCCAGCCTCCTGTTATATAGGAAAACTAGCTGTCCCCTGCCACGCGTTGCTGTGGCCCAGTCTGGTGATCTGGAAAATCAAGTCCTGGTTTCTAATATATGTAATGTCTTTATGCTTGTGAGTAAACAGTATTCCTTGTTGTTTAAGTGTCAGTGTTGATGTGGAGAGTGTCCGGTTTGCCTACCCTGGAACATGCGACATATCATTGTCCTTCTTTAGGGGTCCCTTTCAAATCTATGATACTATATCTCTCTGTGTGTGAATCATATATATATCTATGGGTGGATGGCTCTCTGTCAGGAGGGCTTTGTTTACGCTTTCTCACCCTGGTGAAGGGAGTTGGACTGGATGGCCTTGAGTATTTTCGGCTGGTCATGGGGGTTCTGTGTGGGAAGTTTGCCCCAATTCTGTTGTTCGTGGGGTTCGGAATGCTCTTTGATTGTAGGTGAACTATAAATCCCAGTGACTACAACTCCCAAATGTCAAGGTCTATTTCCC